TTTCCTCCTTTAGCAACAGACAGCGGGACCTCTCTGCCCAGGGCCACATAACTGTCCCCACAGAGGGCCCCGAACTCGCCAGAAGCCAAGCCCCTGGGGTGGGGGTGGGGGGAGTTGGGGGAGGCCCCTGTGGGGCTGCCCAAGGTGTCCTATCTCAGCGCCAGGGCCCAGGATGCCCCCGCCGCTCCCATGGCCCAGCTCCACAGAAAGCCACTCTGCCAGGCGGCAAATGACGCTCCCCTGGGAACTGGGCGGGCAGGCTCACCCCTGGGAACCCGTCACTTCTCCGGGGCTGCCCTCAGCCACCACCAGCCCCCGCGGCTACACTGCTCCCCCGGTCGCAGCCCCACCACGCCCGGCTGGGGGGACTCGGGCTATTCCTGGAGCATTTTCAGTTTACACCAAAATAACCTGACAGCTGATGGCAGGCGGCATCCACCACGCAGCTCCTCACCCTGGAGGGTCAAAGTCCACATGGCTCTCAGGGGACAGGCTGGGAAGCCACAGCCCCAGGAGGCCTTGGGCGGCCCAGTTCCCGAAAGCTGGTCTAAGCAATGGCTGGACAGCCGGACCGCCGGCCCCAGGGGGTGAAGGGACCCCAAGCCCCTCATTTAACAGAGGACATTGGGCTCTGGGAACGGATGGAAACGAGGCCTCTGCTCCCCCTCTTGCCACCACGATAGCTGCCTCCTGGGTCCAGGCGTCATGCGAAGTCACCCCCTGACCACAGCGCTGTGAGCCCCGCTGCTGGAACCCCCACGCTAAGACTGGGCTCATTTGGTTCGAGCCCAAGTTCCCGCCGACTGTGGATGGAGCGAGCGGCAGCTGCTTGGCGTTAAAGGTGATTAACCAACTATTTAATTACCTTGCAGCACCCGGAAAAGAAAACAGGCACCGAGGAACAACCCCCAGGCAAGGGCGTGCTCGCTGGGGCCAACGTTCCCCACTGTGGCAGGGGGGGTATGGCTTCCACCGAGCCCCGACACCCCCCCAGACAGCCCTGCCTCAGCATCCTGGAGGGAGCTCGGACCCCCTATTTCCCCCAAAGAGCAGGCGCTGAGAACAATGAATGAATGGGCTTCTCCCCACCCCCATCCCAGACTCTGACTCACCCGGAGTCCCAGTTCTTGCTGTATTTCTAGCCTCCCGTGATGCCCTCTCACATGGGACTCCGCTGTGGCCGGAGAGAGAGCTGTGGGTGCTCTTCCTGGCTGCGTCCTCTCTTTTCCCGGCCCCGGGAACCTCCGGAAACCGACAGCCGCTCCAAGGCACCCACACTGAACCGACCCCCAGGTCTGGGGGTCTGGCGCGGACCAGGCTGCCCGGGGAAACCTGATCCCGTCTCTTCTTCGGGCCTCTCCCACCACCAAGCCAGGTCCTGTTACAGACACTGAAAGGCTCCCCTGAAATTGTGACTTCCAGTCCCTGCCCGACTAACATGACTGGGTGATCTTAGATAAGTCATTTCTTCTCTGAGCTTCAGTTTCCTTGGTGGTAAAAACGGCTAGCCCAGAGATTTTTTTAAACTTTTTTTGAAGCCACAGAATCCTTAGAAAAAAAAAAACCACCACACAACCCCCATCAAATCCTACGGGGGAACCCCAAATAGAGTAGATAGTGACCCTTGGAACCCCTGGGGAGAAGTAGGTTCATGGCTCCGGCCCCAACCCTTGGTCAAAGTTGCCCAGCCGCTAGTGAAAAACCGTGCCCTGCTAGGGAGTTGCTCTGAAAAAGAAAAAAGCCTCCCTAGGAAAAACCGGCCCGGCCCCCGTACCCCGTAAGTGGGGTTCGGAGAGGAAAGCCAATCCTTACCTGCCCTCCGGTGGTTAAACCCTGTCTCGGGGGAAAGCGCACCCCTTTTTGCCCCTCCTTCCGGAGCATTTTGAAAAACGCTAAATTATCTTCGGGA